AACCCAGCCTCTCTGCAATGGACCATGCAGGACGAGGCAGCACCCTTCTAGCAGGAGCGGACTCCCAGTCCACCTGTAAATCTCTTCCCAGTCTGTTTAGCTGGGAATTAAAACACTTCTTGTACAGAGGAGGCAGTGCAGGCAGTTTAACCCTCCGTTGCTATGCCCACACTAAGTAGTTCTGCAAGAGCATCTCTGCACTAGAGAGGACGAGCTGCTTGTAAAGACCCATCATTAGCTTGTCACCCTGTCTAGAAAAGCTGGCCGACAGGGCTTGTCTGCAAAAAAAAAGTCAAGGAAACCAGCAGTTTTAACAAGCCCTTCGGGAGTCCCGGCGATGACAGAGCCAAGAGGTGACCTGGTGCCGCGAAGCACCAAGTGATGAAGGCAGAACACCAGAGGCTCACATCCTGCCTCAGGGCCCAGGAGCCTGGCAGGCAGCAGCATCCCCATCCCGCGGGGACGCTGGGCACCCCCCGTCCTGCGCCCGACCCCGGGCTGCCCACGCTCTGCTGGCCTCCTCCAGCCCTGATCTCCTCCGCTCTCCCGTCCCGAGCTCTTTCTGAGCGGATTGCCACGCGGAGGCAGCGAGCAAGACCTCTGGAGAAGAGGCAGAGGCCAACCCTTCTCATCCCCTTCTGACCTGCACAAGGCTCCAAACTGAACCCCCAGGGAAAAAGTGGAGTCTAGTTCTCTCTAGTTCTGTGGCTCCTCTGAAGATATTGCTCTCGGCTACCCTAGCTGCTGGGCAAAAACAAAATAGCAAGTCTTAAGGGGAAAAAATAGAATTATTACAGAATGCTTCTTTATGATCTGCTTTGCAGTAACCCTGCCTGCTGTTAAAATTGTCATAAAATACCCCGGGGAGACCGTTTAAATGTATAACCTTGGTATCTTCATGACAGATTTACTCTCCGCTCTGTATTTATGGACTGCATGACGACTTTCCCTCGTGCGCATGTGCCCTTGGATCCAAATACTAAAAATGTATCTGTTTAACAGGATCCTTAAGAAATTTATCTGAGTGTGGAGGCGTCGAAAATGTCTTGTAGACAGACCTGAAGTGAACCAGCATCCAGCAAAATCAGCTGCAGCTTATGGAAAAAAGAGAGGGAGCTTCAGCGGCTGGAGAGGTGGGAATTGCTGTCGGCGCAGGAACGAGGAATTAAAGTACTGGGGCAAGAGGGGGATCTACTGGGGATCTACTGGTGAGCAATGGGAGCCCTCAGCTTGGCTGCGCGCGAGGAAGGGTGCTGGCAGAGCAGCCCGGAGCGCAGCTTGGGCCTCAAGTTGCGCCAGGGGAGGTTTAAATTGGATATTAGGAAAAAATTCTTTACTGAAAGAGCGGTCAGGCATTGGACCAGGCGTCACCATCCCTGGAGGTGTTCAAAGAACATCTAGATGT